AGGAGGTTTTGGGGTGGTTTGGGGTTTTAGAAGGGAGGTTTTGGGGTTTTAGAAGGGAGGTTTTGGGGTTTGGAGGAGAGATTTGGGGTGTTTGGGGTTTTAGAAGGGAGGTTTTGGGGTTGGGAAGGGGGATTCGTACCTGGACAGCGCGGCCGTGGGGCAGACCGGGGTCATCCGCAGCGTCACGGTCAGAGCCCACGCTGGAAGGGGTTTTTTTTGGGAATTTTTGGGATTTTGGGGGATTTGGAGGGGAATTTGGGGTGTTGGAAGGGTAATTGGGGTGGTTTTGGGGTGATGTTGCTGTATTTGGGGTGATTTTAGGGTGGTTTGGGGGTGGTTTTGGTGTATTTGCGGTGATTTTGGGGTGATTTTTGGACATTTCGGGTGATTTTGGGCTGATTTTGTTCTGATTTTTGGCTGATTTTGCTGTATTTGAGGTTTTGATGCATTTGTGGTGATTTTGGGCTGATTTTGAGCTAATTTTGAGCTGATTTTGACGATTTTACCTATCACTCTCACACTTTTAACCCCCTCAGGGCGGAATGTGCTCCGTTTACCTCAAGGACAGCGAAAAAGTCGTCAGCGTCTCCAGCGAACACCTGGAACCCGTCACCCCCACCAAAAGCAACAAAGTGAGACCCCAAACCTCCCCAAAACCCCCCAAAAACCCCCTCCTGAACCACCCAAAACCCCAAATTTCACCCCAAAAAATAAAGGTGAAGGTGATTTTGGGCGAAGACCGGGAGGCCACCGGGATTTTGCTGAGCATCGACGGCGAGGACGGAATTGTTCGAATGGACCTGGAGGAGCAGCTCAAAATCCTCAACTTGCGTTTCCTGGGGAAGCTTCTCGAGGCTTGAGACCCCCAAAATCCCCTCCAAAAAAACCCCAGACCCTTTTTTCCCCCATTTTTCCCCTTTTTTTCCCATTTTTTTCCCATTTTTTCCCCTTTTTTTCCCGTTTTTTTCCCGTTTTTCCACATTTTCTGCCTCTCTCCGCTGTTTTTTTGTCCCCCCATTTATTGTAACGAGGTTTTAGGTATCAAATAAAGAACTGGGGGTGCAGCACCCGCTCGTTTTCAGGTTTTTGTGGGGTATGGAGGGATTTTTTTGGGTTTTTGGATGATTTCGAGGAGTTTGGGGTGGATTTTCGGGATTTGGTGCCGATTTCGGGGATTCTGGGGCTGATTTCGCGGGGTTTGGGGGCAAATTTGGGATTTTGGTGCCGATTTTGGGGGGGTTGGGGTCGTTTTCGAGGGGTTTGGGGCCGATTTTGGGGGTTTTGGTGCCGATTTTGGGGATTTTGGTGCCGATTTGGGGGATTCTGGTGCCAATTTGGGGGATTTTGGTGCCGATTTTGGGTCATTTTAGTGCCAATTTCGGAGGTCCTGACCCCGCCATTGACCCGGACTCCCCTCACGCGTTTTCCCGCCTTTTTTCCCCATCTCATCCAGCGCTTTCTCTGATTGGCTCAAACTTCACTAGCCCCGCCTCCCCCGCGC